TTTTTTTTCGCCTAAAATACTGCGCCCCTCGTAGAACCCTTTATTAATCCTTAACACATCTCAAGTGTTATGCAATATGAGAATTTCAATGAGACTGTAAGATAAGTTCTATAAGACTATAGTGATGACGTATGGTTCAGAGTATTGGACGAATAGAGCAGAGAAAGTGTATAGCAAAGATGAGAATGAATGGATGAGTGGAGTGACTAGAGATGATAAAATTAGAGAAAGTGAACTAAGGTGGTTTGGTCATGTTATGAAGAGAGAGGAATCAGAAGCTGTGATAACAGTTATAGAAATGAATATTAAAGGAAGAAGAGAAGAGGAAGATGAAAAAAGAGATGAAGGGAAGTTATTGAATGTGATATGAGGACGGTTGATGTGTATGTAGATGATGTGTGAGATCGTGTCAAGTGGAAGTTTAGGATAAGGGTTGCCGACCCCAAGTAATTAGGATACAAGCGAGGGAAAAGATTAAAAGAATATGTTTTACTTATTTGTACAAAATTATGTTTCCAGATAGGTTAAAAAATAAACTAAGAGTTAAAAATCACTACAAAAAAGTACACTGAAATGGGTCGCGAAATAATGAAGGCTATTAATAACAACTGCTGACGAACAGAGTGACATCGTGAGAAAAGAAAAAATAAGTGTGACCAGAGCAGAGACGGACTAGCCCACTCTGCTACAGCACACTGACCATTGAGTTAACGACAAAAAATCAGACGGTCTAATATTGAGGAGTCGCGATTTTAATTATGAAGAATTCAATTTATATAATTTTAGTATGGATTGAATTAAAACTTCAATTCAATAAATATAAATATGAAGTAAAAATTTTTCAAGAAAAAAAATACATTTTTTCCAAAAGTAAAAAAAACATACATGAATGTATGAGTTACTATTCAAAAATATTTATCTAAAATGTTTTTCGCTTACTTAGAATTAATTTATACGAAAATGTGAATTGTCAAAATTAATTATGTTTGTATAATAATAAAAAAATTATAAGTAAAATGAGCCGATTTTTTCAAAAATAGTTTCTATATTTTTTTTTTTCAGTTTATCACAGACTATTGCTTTAGGTGTGGGCTGATTAATTAAGAAAAAATTACATTGTAAAACAATGTGATGAAGAAAAAACAAATTAGTTTGAATTTCTACTCAATGACTATCACATAAATTAATATAAGAATGTATTTTTTTTTATATTTTGTGAGTTTAAAAATATTGTTTTTAGCTCAATGATTTAATTATTGAATAATGTATATGATATTTCTTTATATTCTTTAGGTAAGGAACTATTGATTACAAACAATTTGATGTCAATAATTTTTAATTATTCCAATTATCAAACTCTATAATTTAAATAAATGTAAAAATCATCAATAAAAAATATTAACAGTAAATTTAATTTTTTGTGCATAACCAATAAATATGTTAAGAAATCGATTAATATCTATGTAAATATGGATTTTTAATTTTAAACAATTTAATGTAATGCGCAGTTAAACGATTTTTTTGTATTATTAGAGAACTCTGTTTAAAAAAAAAGAATGCTACAAGATATAAATTTTAAATAAATTGAAATTATTATTTCATGAAATTAAAAAAAGTTTGATTGATTAAAATAAAAAGACCAGTAAATGTTATTATTTGAACTAATAGTTTAATTAGCATCGTAACCTTTTTTGTAAAAATATTGCTAAAGATCTAATTTTAATAAAAAAGGATATATTTTACTCGTGAAGTTAAAATGTCTTTCTTTCTTCTTTTTTCTCGCCTTAATTCTAACTACTTGGGATTAACCACCAAGTTAAGATCGAGTTAATATGTATTAAATAAAATACATTTTTTTAAAATTTATTATTTAGCTAATTAAAATTAATTATATTTTAGCTTTTTTATTAGCATAATTGTTAAAATATTTCATCATAAAATTTTGCAAAAATTAAATTTTATCTACCAAAATAGTTAAATATAATTGTTTATATTTGTTATTCATTCATCACTTTAACTGTTATTGTATGAATTTTACTTTAAAGTGTTTGTTCAATATGTTTTTGTGAATATTATTTTACTACGTTTCAATTTTTATTGTGAAATTTATCTATTGTGTTTTTTTATCAATTTATTATTTTTTCGGTGTCATTAAATATAATACTATAATAGTGATATTAATCAAAATAATATTATTTATTATATTTCGTACATATCGGGTAGATAACTCATAACTTAAGGCATATACTTTTGGTGATTAATTCTGAGTAGCTTAAAGATCAGGTAACAGATATGTCAGGTGCGTTATTTAGAGGTGGCAACTAAAGCAGTTGACCCAATTTAATTTTTAGTGAAAACTGTGACGTGCCCATTGTACTCTTGTCATATTTTAAGCAAACCCATTTCTTATTAAAAGAAAATTTACAATAATCTAAGAAATGTAATAATAATAAATTATACTTACTTAATAGTTAATACATATTTAATTATTTAAAATATAAAAAAAAGCCAAAAGTGAAACGAGGGTATTATTTTTATTATTAGACATTTCTCCTTCTCCACCTCCTTCTACCTAGGTAAAATAATGTTCTATTTTTTATATTAAGTGTAATAGGTGCGAGCTGTTGAGAGATTAGAACTTTATTTAATGAACAATGAATAAAAACATAATAATAAACAAAAGCATCGTACTCTTGTTTCATTTATAAGACAGATTTATAAGTCCAAATATTATTGAGTAAGTTTTAACGAGCAAATAAATAAATAATTGTTAAACCAGGTACTTTTTAATGGAAATAATAAAATAATCATACAGTATATTAAATTTAGTAATTATGCAATTCTATATTGGAATTTTAATTGAAATAAAAATTTCGTCATTAAATTACATAATAATTATTGTATGCGAAAATAAAATTATGTCATTACTCTATATTGATTAACAAAAATATTCTATATCTAATCAAAAACAAGTCTTATAAAATGCTTGCGCCTTTTACTGTTAGATTAGGCAACTAAATAGTCATTTAGTTTGCAAAAATGTAATAATATTTTGTGTATTATTGTATATAAAAAAGTGAACAAGTGACCTATGTATTTTCTCTTATTCCAGTTTTAATTGTTTTCTTTGATATAACTAACATTAATTTTTGTTTTTAAAAACTAACCAATTAGACGCATTACTTAATGTTTTATTATATTTAATTATAATTTTTTTATATTTATTATTATGAACGCTCAGTCGGTTCGGCAGGGAACAAAGCGTTTCACAAATCTGATTACGGTATTAATAACTAAATATTATTAAATATTTTCGATTTTTCTGATGAAGACCAACAATTCTTTAAATATAGAATAAACTAATTTTTAAATACAATTTATGAGTATCACAGTAAAAAATATTTAGATAATTTTAATTTTATGTTCGGTAGATAAATAATACTATACATAAAATAAATGCCTTCAATGGCCTGATTGAAATAAAATTACAAACCGTTCTTAAGTATTTAAATTTGGAATTAACACCCAGAAAAGCTTTATGCGAAACGTGTGAAATGTTTAAGATATTCCACTGATTACTTATATCAATATGAGTTTTAATAATTACGAACCTGTGTATTAGTCTACAGAAAATAATTTGGAAACAATAAATAATGCTTGTAACAATTAAGGTATATATTTTACATTTATTATAAAACAAAAAAATTATTGTATTATTGGCGATCATTGGACCCATCAATGCGATTTATGTTTATCAATCTTATATAATAAATTTGGAATTTTTTAGGCTATCACGTATGTTCAAGATTGTAAAACGATAAAAAAAAATTTAGAAGTCGGTTCAGACATTATATGAGTTAAAAAAACAAACTAGTTTCTGAAAAAAAAATTTTTTTTTTGCTCTTCAAATATTGCTGTTAAAATGAAAACGTTTTAAATTAAATTATTAATGTTAAAAAAATTCAAAATTCATAAGCTGAGGAATGAAACTGAAGTAATATGAAATAGAAGTAAAATAATGATAGTTCAATAGTGGTAGCTTATTTGAATGTTAAGTTATAGGCTTTAGATCATAATATGTTTATTTATTTATTTATATATAAAATCTGCGCTATCTAGGTAAAAAGACAATTATTTTTTTGTTAATAACCTTTGAGCAGTCTATGATAAAAATATCAAACATTTCTGAACTGTAGTCACACATACATTATGTGATTTTATATGAAATGTCCTTAATTTTTTGTTAAGTTACTTTACACAAAACAATAATTTTCTGCTACTATTACTATTTCTATTTTAGTTTTAATGTGAATCCGAGAAGATATTAATTTTACTATGATGAGTTTATTATTTTTTGTTTTTTTTTTGTATCTATTACCATTTATTATCAGCTTTCAATAGACTTAAAAAATTTTAACAGTAATTTATACCAAATATAATTGATATCATAATTTATATTTATCTCAGCTATGCGCGACCCCACTGTGTTGGGTTTTTTAATTTATAATGGAATGTGAAAGATAAAGTCATTCGGTAAAATGAACTTGACTATAAATTATATTGATGTACTATTTAATATAAGTAAAACAGTAATAGTCTACAGTGGTAGGTTATTTGGAAGTTAACCTTAATAGTATTTTTTTAAAAATAATTTTGTATTAATGTTTTTTATAACATTATTTATTTAAATTGCTACCTGGAAAGTTATAGGCTTTAGAACACCGTGTTTTTCATTTATTTAATTGTAAATAATGCCTTATCTGAGTAAAATGAAAATTATATTCGTCGTCAATGATAAAAGTAGTCAATAAAGTCATGTTAGGTAATTTTATATGGAAAGATCCATTATTATTCTTAAAAAAATTAAATAATTTATTTATTAGCTCTTATTTTCGAAGATATGTTATGAGGTGTAGTTAAGAAATCACTTTGTATTGAATTTTAATTTGTATTTCTCTTGAAATTGTAATTTATTTACTTAAATTCAACTTAAATATAATATACAATAATTGGATCCACAAAATGGTTAATTACTATAATAGTAACAAAACGAAAATTGTTTAAAGATATATATTAAATGGTTTCATTTATTCAGAAATCTTCCACATCAAGCATATCATCTAATATTAAACAAAAATAAATTATTAGAGAATAACAATAGCAAATTGGTTATTTGCTATATTTATTGAATAAAATAATAACTAATTGTTTTATAATTGTAGTTACAAATTCTCAAAAAATTATTAAACTTGTATTTAATGGTAGGTAAATTTTTTACTTAAAATGTTGGTTTGCTCGGCCTATGAGAGGGTTATAATGAGTGTTTTATAAAAATATTACTCACTTATCAAATAATTTCCTATTTATCTACTTCATTGTTATATTGTATCATATTTATAGGAGAATTTAGAGCCATTTTTAAAAATATTAACATAATTGTTAGCTCAATTAAAAATTTATTTAAATTTATATTGAATATATAGCAGTGTATAATAATAAAAACTATTATATAAATATATTATAATAATAATACATACATAAGTATATTGCTTCTTAATCAAAATACCGTATTAGAAATATATTGAAGTACTGTAATGTTTTTTAAAAATATTACCTTCTTGTGTAATTCCTTTCTGTATATTTACTTCATTGGTATTTTGTATCGAATTTATATGAAGATAGTTTGCATTATCTAAAATTAATTACATAGTTGTTATCTTAATTGAAAGCCTATTTTAATTAATAATTATTAATTATAATGAATGTATTTCTATACATTTATTATAATTTCTATTTCAATATAGAGTATAATGAAAACTTTACATTCTTGTGCTATCTCTTTCAAATAATCTTCTTCATAGTTATCTTGAATCGAATTTAGAGGAGAATTTTGTATAACATCTAAATATATAATAATGCATACATAAGTATATTTTTTTTAATTGTAATAACGTATTATAAATAAATTGAAGTACTGTAGTATTTTTTAAAAATATTACCTTCTTGTGTAGTTCCATCGTGTATATTAATTTCATTTATATTTTGTTCAAAATTTATAGGAGAATAATATGCCATACCTAAAAATAATTATGTTTTTATCTTAATTAAAAGCCTATTTAAATTAATAATTAATGTATAGAAGTGTGTAATGAAAACTTTACATTCTTTTGATATCTCTTCCAGATAATGTTTCGTAGCTATGTTGTATCGAATTTATAGGAGGATTTTATATGACAACGAAATATATGATAATACATACATAGTTTAGTTTTGTTTTAGTCATTATCGAGGTGGACATTATACCCATGCACTCAGACCTGTTGGTCCATTGTGCGCACCTCATACCGAATTGTCTTGATTCGGTTTACCCATCTAAGTGTTATCACCGAAGTGTTAATAAATTATACCAATCATTGTATAAGGGTGGACCATAAAGTCATCTCTAGAGATAACCAAAGAGTCCTGTCTTTCTGGAGAAATTAAGTATCTCTCTGGGTTTTAGGTTTCTAACATCTTCTTTTTCTAATACATACATAAATATATTGTTTCTTAATCTGAATAACATATTATAAAAATATTGAGGTGCTGTAGTATACTGTAAAAAATTACCTTTTTGTGTGATTCCTTCCTGTATATTTACTTCATTGGTATATTGTATCGATTCTATAGAAGAATTATATACCATACCTAAAAATAATTACTTATTTGTTATCTTAATTGAAAGCCTATTTTAATTAATAATTATTAATTATAATGAATGTATTTCTATACATTTATTATAATTTCTATTTCAATATAGAGTATAATGAAAACTTTACATTCTCGTACTATCTCTTCCAGATAATCTTTTTCATAGTTATGATGCATCAAATTTATAGGATAATTTTGTGTAACATCTAAATATATAATAATACATACATAAGTATATTTTTTTTAATTGTAATAACGTATTATAAATAAATTGAAGTACTGTAGTGTTTTTTAAAAATATTACCTTCTTGTCTAGTGTTTACCTCAATATCTACTTCATCGTTATGTTGTATAAAATTTAAAAAAGGATATTTTTCCATATCTAAAAATATTAACGTATTTATCATCTCTATTTAAAGCTTATTTAAATTAATAATAAATAATTTATAGTAAAAACTTTACGTTCTCGTAATATTATTTCCAGAATATCTATTTCTTGGCTATATTGTTTCGAATTTATAGAAAGATTTTCTATGACATCTAAATACATAATAATACATAAATAAGTATATTGTTTTTTAATTGTAATAACGTATTATAAAAATATTAAGGTTTTGTAGTGTTTTTTAAAAATATTACTTTTTTGTGTAATTTCTTCCTGTATATTTACATTATTCGTATTTTGTATCATATTTATAGAAGGATATTTTACAAAACCTAAATATATTAAGAAATGAATAAATTTAAAAATGCAAATAATCTCTTAAATTATACCTATGTTGAAAACTGTACTCGAATCAGGTAAAAACGTCTGATTTTTGTCCGAATTAAATACAAAACCTAGTTCAACATACTTTTTCTGGATTATCGTTTGGACTAGATTGATTATTTTATTATTAAGATATAAAAAAAATTCTTGATATTTTTCTTGAGATTTTAATATGCCAAGTTCTTTATCCCAAAAATTCCACATTGAATCCGAATCTAAAGGTTTTAGAGTACAATATTTCATATTCTGTAATAGTTCTATATGTCTTGTGAGTAAAAACCGCTTAATATACATTAATGTTAGATTAATCGAATTCATTGTGTTTTCCAATGGAACTAATTTCTTTAAAGTTTCTTCCTTCTGTAAATTTGCTATAACTGTGCATAAAATAAAACTTTGCTTATTTTTGTGTGTACTCCATGGAAAGGTATGAAATACTTCGATAGCATCCAAAGCTCCTTTCATGAATGTTGCCAATGAAGTAATTTCATCTATTTTTTCTACAAGTTTGACTGTACAATTGTGCGCAATATTAAGAAAGTTCTTAGAACGTAAAATCATATGACAATGTTCTTGAAATTTGTTTAATATAATAAACATTTTATTTAAATCATTAGCGTAAGAACATCCAAGAAATACTGTAGCATGACGTATGGTGGAATCGCAATTGAATTTTGTTACAGTTTTAATCACATCTTCTAATAGAAACTTGTTGGAAAAATAAGTGATAAATTCCACATCATTTATATTAATCCATCCTTTTTGTCGTAGAAAATGGTTAATTGTATCGACGTTTCCTTTTACATTATTTTTTCCTTCGACATGTAAAAAAAAAATGTTACATATACAAAAGCACACTTGAATATTTAGTATTATTATCATTTTGATTTTCAAAAATGTATTGAATTATTTTCTTATAATAAATGCAAAAAAAATAAATAGTCGCAAAAAATCTGTTTGATTGTTAGGCTGGTAACAATAAATTCGTTTTTTTACAACTAAATTAAAAGAATAAGCGAAACATGTCGATTAAGAACATTGGTGAGAAAAGTAAACAAAATTTGACAAGTTTTTATCTTTCATATATTTTTGTTATTATAATAATATTTTTTTTCATCCTCCCTCCTAAAATATGTTTTTATATAGGGTCTCAGCCGTAATAATAAAACAATAATTTATTATTATATTTAATAATTATTGCCTACTTAGAATACTATTTTATAGTATCAATAATAGCATAATTTTAATAGTATTTATTACTAATAAGAAAAAAGTAAACATAGAATTTTTTTTTTAATTACATAGTAGCTTTTTTTTAGCCTATTTCTTACAAGAACTTTTGATCGATTGATAAAAAAATTTTATAAAAAGAAAAAAGATAAAAAAGACAAAAAATTTGCTACTTTGAAATTCAAAAATTAAATAAATAAATTTTTTATTTATATTGGTGATAAAAAATAAAGAAATATGCTTTACTTGTAGTCTAAAAAGGCAACAAATTTTTAAAAAACGAATTTATTCAAAACGATAATTATATTAAACGTTTTAAACGTTATTGTTATATACTATATAACAATTCATATAATTATTTTGAAAGGGCCTAATGAATCATGTTAGGAACCAAACTTGTATCATTTTCTTCAATGGCACATAAAATATTATTAATAATTTATCAATATTACATTGTACAAGGAATTAATATTGAGGTATAATAATTATGCTTATTATGACTAGTATTATCTTTGTCTGAAAGTAAATATTTAGGGCGATTATGTATCTCATATATCCTTGTGATAACGGTCCTTCGAATCGAATATCAAACTCTGGATGGTTTTTTTAATCTTTAAGTTCTGTACATTTATATATTCATAAGTCATATGTTAAACAGTTACACTGTATTGTGATATATTTTTGAACATAATTTAGATTACAAAAAAACTGGATAAATAATGTGTCAAGAATTCAATTTAAAATAACAAATATTACAATCAATACAACTTTTTATTGACAATAAAAATAGCGTAAGAATAAAAAGGCAATTTTTTACTTCAAATATTTGAGTTGATTTGACGTGTTTTTACTAGATTCTATCATATACTATTTATAATAATAAGTTGCCAATGAGGGGGCAACAGCTCCTTTAGTATTCTTTAGCTAATCCACTGGTTTCAATTTTTAACCACAAAATAAAATACTTTTAGAAAAAAAATATTTAATGAGTAAAATTTAATCATATCTATTTACGCTCAATATACGACTAAAAAGAGTACACTAATTGTTGAGTGAGTTTTATTTAGCCGATTGATGAAATAAAAGAGCATTACTTTAATTAAATAAAATAATTAATACTTAATTAATATAATTATATAAAATATTGAATCAATTGTGATCTATCATTTATTACAAGACCTGATATTTTTAGTATAGCCAAAATTTCATATTAGGTAGCTAAAGTAAAAATATTTATAACTAACACTAAAAACTTTTCTTATTATTTTTTTGTAAAAGAGGGTTCAAAGGGGAACATAATTATCTAACATATGGGTATACCATTTCATCTAAAATATAAATGTACGTTTTTGAAAAAAAATTTAATTCAAAATTTATAGCAATATGTAAAACGATGATTGATTCACTAAAATAACAGTTTTTGTTTAACATCTACAGATGTTTACATATAAATTATAAATAGTCGGGACAAATTTTATTTGAACTTTTAGCATGTAACATAAGCTTTAGTTTACATAGTTTGAGGCTCATAGAAATTCCTAAACAATTTAAAAAATTTATATGAAATGGTTTTGGTTGTCCCTAGAGACACTTTTATATTTATATTATTACAAGCGGTGTTAAATCCATGTTTATTTAAATATTTTTAGCATAAAATATTTTTTGGGCTCCATTATAGCATAATATAATATAGCATAGATGGTCACAGGGAAGAGAACTTAGCCTCCCTGAACTTTTCATCTACTCCCAAATATTTTAAAAATCATATGTAATCTTACTCCCTAAAAAATATTGAAAATCTGCCATTGGATATTAATAGATTTTTAAACGATTTGAACTACAGTTTGCCCACCTTAAACATTCATTAATAATATATACATAAAAACAGTTAACTTTCTAATACGAAATTGTGTAATTAAGTCAGAAAACGAAATACTAATTAGAAATAGTCTACGATTAGTATATTAAAAACTGATATTAAAAGAGACACGAGGGAGCATTTGCCTAAAGCAGGGTGCGGTACCATGACATATGGAAAGAGTTTTGGGTTTTCAACCGGTCCTTGTCGGTACAGCCTCGATTTCTAACTACAGCACAACTATTCTTAACATAAATGGTTCTCCAGGAGCATAAAATGATCCCGGAAGTTTTGTTATATAAAAAATATGTTTTTTATTATTAGGGATTATCTCAATAATAAAGCACAGATTTAAATCATTGTAAAAAATCGTTTTAAATCATAAACTAAGGTAAAATTGACTAACTATTGGGCGATCGGATTTTGTTATACATTTACTGTTGAAGGGGAAATAATTAAATAATGACGCCATCTACTATTATATGTATAATCTCCCAATTCACCCACACCGTTTTAAACATATTGTGTTCTGAAAACATTTTCATCGTATGTTTTTTCCACAAATCCCAGAGAAAAATGTTTTTTTTGATGGGACATGTCATTCCTTAACTTAATTTAGATTATGATTAAAAAATAAATTATACATGTATTCTCTCACTAAAAGTGATACTGTTCTATTTCTACTGTACCCTAAGACATGTTGAGTGTCTACCGAATAATTTAAAAAAAAAAAAAATTGTTAAGTATAAATATTTAAAGAAAAACTCGATATGATGACTCCATAAGGATGCTTTTGAATAATTAATAGGTTTATTTTTCTCGGTAACTCATTTAATACAACTAATTATAATCAAATTTTTTTTGAAAGAATATTTCATAATAATTCAAAATAAAAAAACCACGTTTCCATATTATAATTTTTATACAAAATTCCCCATAGTAGTCATCTAATTTGAATAAGTCTTAAAATTACTTAAAATAAAATACTTTTTATTCGTGATATTTTTATTTAGCTATTGCAATAAAAAAAAAATGATTTATTTATTAACGCATAAGTTAAAACGATACTTCGTAAAATAACAATATAATATCATTCTTGCAAAAAAATTTGTGAAGTAAATATGTGTTCTCATTTAAATTATTTTCGAAAATTAAGTCATTGTTTGGTTAATACTTTAGAAATATTTTAAAAATTACTATATTTCTTCAATTTAAGAAAATCATCTTGCCTCGCTCTCCCCTATTAATATAAAATAGAAATTAATATTTAAACTTCAAATACAAATCAATAAAATTAAAAAAAACTAATGACTACTAAATATTTTATTAATTATTCAAAACACTATATGACAAATTTATCTTTGTTTACAAATAAAGTTTATTAGGACATATACAATTAAAAAATGTTCGAAGGCATACTAAAGTTCCAATTAAAAAGTAATATCGGGCTTGTTAAGTTTTTGAACATATACAGCGTAAGAGATTAGTTGTTGGTTCTCATGTTTTATATATGAGATCCATAATTTCCAAGTAGTTCTCGCTAATATGAGTGCTCGTAAAACTAAAATGTATTTTACTTTTTCAATTTTTTTATCAAAAGCAAACCAATGTTTATTTATGACTTCATTTCTTGATTCCATGAAATGTTTTATGTCGATTTTTGATTTAAAACATAACTCACTTTTATTCGCAATAATTGGTCGAAGTATCGCTGGTTTAATTATCTCATTATCTTTCTAGAGAAATAATCATTAGCAATTAAAATCTAACAAAATTTGAATTACTCTTATAAGACCTTTATTTGTTCATAATCGTATGCTCGAGTCAAACTCAACTTTCGTTGTCTCTTTATCATATTATATGTCATATTTCTCCAAACCGTAATGTATCTTATTAAGGTTATCTTTCTGTAGTAGTTGACCATACATCTTATCAGTCTGTCAGATTCCATTAAAACTATTCAAGTTAACAAAAGTTCAACAGATATCATAATTAGTTTTAATATTAACAAATAATATTTTTCAAATGTAACATGTTTAGTATATATAATATAAAAATTTCGATATAACTATCTAAATTGATTTATTTCTATAGAAATAATGATGTTATTTGTAAAAAAATCACATACGAAAAAAATTGTTGGGTATAAAGTAGACCATTTAAGTTCAACTTTATATAACGATCTGAAAATTTATCATTCTTAACTTTTAAAAAAGTAATTAAAAAAACGAATTGTTTACATAAATGTACAATTGTATATTTACATTTAAATTAATTTTAAGTTTAAAAAAACCAACCAAGCACAGTGGTGACGAGGCATAGTTAGATCAAGTATAATGATATTTGACAGTGATTAAAATCACTATAAAAAGAAACGCTTCGATGCAAATCTTTAGATAGTGTTTAATTTTAAAAATTGGTGAATTATTCCAAAAGCTACATAATCTGCTAGTTCCTTATTAATATCCTGATTAAGATAAAGTATGTCGAATGAAAAAGGGATAATTAAAAAATATTATTTCTCATTAAAAAATTATGTTGATCTATTCACTTTTCATTAAGTCATATCATTATAAAGTTAAAAATGTAAAAAATAAAATCGAGAATTTTCACACAATAATAGCATTCGGTAGCTATTTTCACCGTGAAGACAAAATAAAGTCCGAAATGTTTTTTTTGCATAATAAAGTAAATAAATAATAAAAAGTTGTCATTTTGAATCACCCCCTGTAGGTAGGTAAAAAGTCAGATTTATAAATAAAATATACCAAATGATAGGTAAAGACATCATGCATCTATAAAAAAAACCATTATATTGATCCATCCATTTTTCAAAAAGTTATAGCATTATAAAGTTAAAAATATAAAAAAGAATTTTTTTACAAAAATCGTGTTTTTTTTATTAACTTTGATGTCTGTTTTCACCTTGAAGATAAAATAAAGTCCGAAATTTTTTTTTACTATAATAAAGTATATTACATTAACTTTAATTTAAGATATATATAAAAGTGTCTGACTTTCCGGAACACTTACAAAAGTTAAGTTGAAAAAGATCTACTTTCTACATGTACTTTTTAGATTTGAACCCCCCTCATATATAGGGAAATGATCCGATTAAAAAAAACAGTATGTCGAATGAAAGATGTATATAAATACTACTTTTCATGAAAAAATTGTATTGATCCATACATTTTTCAAAAAGTTATAGCATAATAACGTTAAAAATGTAAAATACAAAATCGAAAATTTTCACACAAAAATAACATTTGGTATCCATTTTTACCGTGAAGATAAGATAAAGTCCGAAATTTTTTTTTTTTCATGATAAAGTATATTACATTAGCTTTAATTTAAGATATATATAAAAGTGTCAGACTTCCCCGAACATTTTCAAAAGTTAAGTTGAAAAAATTAAATTTTTGTGAAAAAGTTGTCATTTTAAATCCCCCCCTGTGGGCAAATAAAGGGTCACATATAAAAAAAAAATATACCAAATGAAAGGTAATGATATCATGCATCTATATAAAAAAAATTATATTGATATGTTCATTTTTGAAAAAGTTACCGCACATTTTAGTAAAAAAATTTAAATTAAAGATGTATATAAATACTACTTTTCATGAAAAAATTGTATTGATCCATACATTTTTTAAAGTTATAGCACTTTAAAGTAAAAAATGTAAATTATAAAATCGAGAATTTTCACACAAAAATAGCATTCGATAGCCATTTTCACCATGAAGACAAGTCTAGAGGTCAAATTTTTTTTTTCAAATTAAAGTATATTACATTAACTTTAATTTAAGATATATATATAAAAGTGTCAGATCTTCCGGAACATTTTCAAAAGTTAAGTTGAAAAAGATAATTTTTTGTGAAAAAGTTGTCTTTTTAAATCCTGCTCCGTGGGCAGATAAAGGGTCAAATTTACAAAAAAAATATATCAAATGATAGGTAAAGACATCAAGCATCTATAAAAAAAAAAAACTATATTGATATGTTCATTTTTGAAAAAGTTACGGCACATTTTAGTAAAAAAATTTCGAAAATTAGCGATTTTTAAATTTGTAATTTTTTTGGAGGTTCCCCCATTTACGGGGAACGAGGGAAATTTTTTCAATTTTTGTGGGTAATGTCTCAACTAGATACGATTTGTGATCTTTTGACGTATTATTGAAAGAAATCGGTTCGGTGAGAGCTGAGAAACAGTGGTAACAGAAAAAAAAAAAAAAAAATACAAAAAAAAACACATCTTAGTAAAACTATACCTTCTCAGCTTCGCATCGAAGCTAAAATTCATATTTACTATCAAATTGAATGATTTAATGTGTTATTTTATTTTATAATTCATATTACTATGAATATTTTAAATCTATATAGAAGTCAAACTTTAATAAGTCCATTATTGTATTTCAATATTTTTTTAAATTTTAAATTCTTTCATATTCTACAGAAAATATAAATTTTTATACATTAAATTACAACTATAATATAAAAATAAATAAATCATAAAAACTGTTATAAAATATCAATTTTTAAATATATTATCTATTACACATCTATCTATAGATGCGCCATTACGCTTTATACAAAGAGTTTTAATAAATACAGAAAATATGGCATTATTTGATTTTATATGACGCACTTCTAATATTCTATAATTTTGGTAAAAATATAAATTATGATTTTCGCCCTTGATGCGTTTTAAACAACACTCTTCATAAAGACTTAAAACTAGAAACAGTAAACGTAGTAGCATCATAACTCTTAGTTTCCATTGTCATTCTCTTTCTGATCGCAAATATCTAATAACTGAACTATTATCCAAAAAATTTCTGAAAAACTCACCGGGCCTCCATTTACGTTATGTAGAAACCTTCTCAATAATAAAAAAAAAATTAAATAAATATATAAATCTTAAATTAGAGACCTCTCATTGAATAGCTTCCAATTATATATATTTGTAAATAATAAGTTATGTATCTCGCATAAAATTTATTTATTATGCCTTTTAGATTCTAAAGATAATGTTTTTATGGTAATGTTCGTTATGTTAAAAATAAATCAAATATATAAGCGAATAACCATTTTTTTAAAAATATATTTTAATTTTTATCAAACTTAATATGTTTCAAATGTCTGAGCATTTTTGTGATTTTAGAAATTGTTTTTAAAAATAATAACTAAGTATTATTTCTATTTGATATTTAAAGAAATATAAAAAAGAAAGCCTTCAATATTTTTATGAATACATTAATGTAAATTTTTCTAAGTATTTTTTTATACAGTCCTATAAAATTGTTTTTTTAAGCAATTATTACATCTTAAAACAATAAGTTTATTTTAAGAATTTACTAGTGTTTCAAAGTATACATTTTTTTAGATGTTTGCATATATTTGAAAGACTAATGTAAGGGTTTTCACTAATTTTTACACTCAAATGAACAAATACCATAAAAATGTAGTTTGAAAAATTATTTTTAATGTTAAAACAAATATCATACATTATATTTATATTTAGCATATAAGTATCGATATCATAAAAATATATTTCATTAAATTTATTAAATTAGAGTTATATAGAGTAAAATATTTACTTATAATTTAATTGTTAAATTAGTAAAAAAATTATTACTTTAAGATCCCTGACATAAATAATTTGACTATTAATTATGCATTTTATCACTTTAATCATTATTTTGTTCTTCTACAGAATAGATGAATCAAAATCTAATGAACTTGATCTTAAAGAACCCGATGAACGTTTATTATTACATTTCATGACCAACCATAAAAGGCTAATGAATTTAACTTTAATAAGTCATAAAATTTACACTGCACCAGAAATGATAAATGTTATTGATCGAGAAAAATGGAACTTCAACTTGGAGGGTGAACTATCACTTCTAACAAATCCAACCCAGTTATACAAAGGTACTGCTGCAGTTTTTTATCATGAAATTAATGTCGTTGAGAGAAAGTTAGGTGATATTTTGAATGAAGCTATTTTAAAACGCAAGTATATAGAGGGTATGTTATGGTTTCGAAATGTTATTGAAAGTGTTGGTATTTCTGTCATTATTAGATTTTGTGACATCACCGTAAGGTTAATAAACACAAAAAAGTTCAAATCAATTAATTTAGAAGACTATTTAAATATGTTCCAAGACTTACAAAAAATATTCAATTTTCACATGATAAGAACAGAACCAGTTGATAAAATGATAAATATGATCAAATATTTAATATTCACTGAAAATCGTTTGTCCGGAAAGTTTAAGTATTTAAAGGATTGCTATATAGTTAAGAGCCGTTACATCAGTTGCGTTAATTTAGTAGAGGTATATAATTTTAATGATATTGGGGATTCGGAAGATACAACATTTTTGAATTCAAAATTAGAATTAATGTTTCCTGAATCAAATTTAATTGATGACCTGTCACAATGGTAATTTTAATCCAAACTTTTGTTTATATGATTTGTAATTTAATTATAGTTGTCGATAAAATAAATATAAATTTTAGTAAATAATTTGGTTGTTGCATTCATATCGATTTGGGCTGCCAACTTATTCCTCCTTGACTACGTCACTAGTATGCATTAATCTTTCATACTTAATACACAATATATTACATAAAAATAATTTTCTAGTAAAATGTCTCTAATTTTAAAATAGCGTAATTAACTCAATTAGTTCATACGTTGATTGTGAAATGATTAGATTTTCATTTATTTTTAATTATTTTAATAGTGTTTACTACATAGTATCGGTTTTGAAATATTCGTGTAACATTTGTTAACTTTGAATTTAATAATTAAAATAAAATGTAACATTAATGAATAATAAATGACTAGACTCTGCCTATCAAAAAAGTGTGGTCCTCTACTAGTCCCACGCACGCATGACTCATTAGGCTCTTTGGGCCATCCTTTTGGACCAGATTTAATATTCCCG